ACACTCATTACGATGAAGAAGTCATGACAAAACATATACGAAGAAATCATGACAAAACATATACGCTCATTACGATGAAGAAATCATGACAAAACATATACGCTCATTACGATGAAGAAATCATGACAAATCATTTACGCTCATGTTTGACAAATCATTTACGCTCATTACGATGAAATCATCATGACAAAGCATATACGATGAAATCATCATGAAAAAGCATATACGATGAAATCATGACAAAACATGTACGATGAAATCATGACAAAACATGTACGCTCATGTTTGACAAAACATATACGCTCATTACGATGAAGAAATCATGACAAATCATTTACGCTCATTACGATGAAGAAGTCTTGACAAAACATATACGCTCATGTTTGACAAAACATATACGCTCATTACGATGAAGAAATCATGAAAATTCAATGAGGTGAGAAAAGAGGTGAGAAAAGAGGTGAGATCTCACCTCTTCACCTAAACATTTATTTTGGATCATTTACACTCATTACGATGAAGAAATCATGACAAAACATATACGAAGAAATCATGACAAAACATATACGATGAGGTCTTGACAAAACATATACGTAAACATTTATTTCCTGTGTTGTTGTCAAAATGTCATGTTGTCACACTTTTTCAGAGAAGTTAAATGACCTGGTAGCACATGGTAAACATGGTAGCACCTTCAGTTCTTCAAAAATAATTCATAACTGCCTTCCCCTGCTGTGTTGTCAAACATGAACGTAAACATTATTTTTGGTTCATTTACATCATTACGATGAAATCATGACAAAACATGTACGATGAAATCATGACAAAACATATACGTTTGTTTCGATGAAATCATCATGACAAAGCATATACGATGAAATCATGACAAAACATGTACGATGAAATCATGACAAAACATATACGCTCATGTTTGACAAAAACATATACGATGAAGTCTATGAACATAATAATATTTCAAACCAGGAGCCAAATTCTTGCGATTTTCATATGGAATCTCTTCTCTCGGTTTCCGAGGTAAGCAATTATATGAAATCATTTACACTCATTACGATTAAATCATGACAAAAATTTACGTTCATGTTTGACAAAACATTTACGTTCATGTTTGACAAAACATATACGATGAAATCATGACAAAACATTTACGTTCATTACGATGAAGTCATGACAAAACATAAACGATAAAAATCATGACAAAACATATACGATAAAATATATTTCCTGGACTGTTGTCTAAATGTCATGTTGTCAGTAATTTTAAGAGAAGTTAATTAACCTGGTGACATGGTGACGTAGTGACACCTAAAAACCATCTACCCTAAACATTATTTTTGCTGAATTCAACAACAAAATGAACGAGGTCAGGATGTATGCAAATACCTTTGAATTCATTCATAAATGCCTTAGTAAGCTCATAAAATGCTTGTTTTTGCATTCTCTACTGTATCTTCGAGTTCTTCTTCATCTAACTTCTCATGAACTTTCTTATCTATGGAGTCCATAATATCTTTGACATAAAATGCATACTTTACAGAGCACCATTCAGCAACAAAATGAACGAGGTCAGGATGTATGCAAATACCTTTGAATTCATTCATAAATGCCTTAGTAAGCTCATAAAATGTTTGTTTTGAGGTCGAGCCACTTTTGGCTTGACCGTATTCTTTCAACCAAAACTCAAGAATTTTCCTGTGTGAATTTTGTATAAAAAGCAACCGTCTGAATTCAGGCGGTTGTTATATTCTTCACAAAACATTTACGCTCATTACGATGAAGAAGTCTTGACAAAACATGTACGATTAAATCATGACAAAACATATACGAAGAAGTCTTGACAAAACATGTACGATGAAATCATGACAAAACATGTACGATGAAATCATGACAAAACATTTACGATTAAATCATGACAAATCATTTATGTTATACAGTAATGTTAGTCATGAATGTTTGTCCTACGTGTTGGCGTTAGTGTTGAAAAATAATGTTTGTCCTACATGAAGCCGTACAAGCGTTTGAATTTGTTTATGCATAAGATTACTCTCTTGTTTTCTGTATCTATCATACAAACATAAGCAGCACCTGTTTTTGTAAAGTTTATATGAAGTTTTCGATAGTTAAGACCTGTATAATAATAGAATGCGTCCTCATTCTCAACATAGTAGTAGAACTCAAACGAATGCTTACCATAATCTGTTATTTCAACAGCTTCGTCAGATATTTCATCAACGAACTCATAAACTATATCGCCATACTTGCTTTTATTTCTATTGTTTTCAGATTTAGAACACCAACGAAGGTTTGAGATTCTGTTGTCCGTTCTATCATGATTTATATGGTCTATTTCTTTCAAATTGTTTGGATTTTCAATCCACTGTTCTGCAATAATTCTATGCTTTAAATGTGTTTTGTTGTTTAAACTAAGCTCAATATAACCATGATTATTTAAGCATTCACTCTTAATATGTTTGTTTTTCTTTCGACGAATAGTAAAAGGATATGTCGTACAAATCTCATAATCTTCATGATTTCTCAATGTTTCCCATTGAGTTTGTTCCCCACTAACGTTCTCATTGACGTCCTCAATATCTTCTTCCTCACTGAACTCGTCAATATTTTCACTAGCTCCTTCTGTAATGTTTTCATCGGCATTGTCATTGACTTCTTCTGTAATGTTAGATGTTGTTGTTTCGCTCATGTTCTTTCACTAATGTTAAAAAGTTATGTTGTACGAATTTTGAACAGAATTTAGAGCAGTTATGAAACAATGAAGTATTTTTATGCTATTGAAAGGAACTATGAGAGTGAAGTACATGACAGCAATGACAAAAGGAACTAATATCAAACCTAATGAAATCGCTCACGAGGACATAGAGCTTAACAAGTACTTTGTGGAGTATCTTATAAGTGAAGAGTATGTAAGACCTTACTTCATGTTTGACAGCATGAATGAGGATGTTATTTCATGGTTAAAGAATATAAGCAATGTTTTCGGTAAGTACGTCATAGATGACAAAGGTCTTGTTGTATTTTATGAGACAGCAATACGAACACAGGAACTAATGGATATTATGCACTCAACAGCAAAGAAAGGATTTAGTACTATTGGCATGAATGAACATTGCAGGAATGACATATACAACCTATGCTCACGAAAGCCTTACACAAAAGCAATACAAATGATAGAACATAAGTGTCTAAGGTCAGCAAATGAAATCATTACTGTCAGTGGTTATGAAAGAACTGTTAGCAAAGATGAGTGGAAACAGCTATTCATATTAAGGAAGGACGTTGCTGAACTAGTTAAACCTGTTGCACAAACATTGTTTCAGATAAGACCAGCAATGACTAAGAACCCTTTGACCTTAGTCAATGAGACCATAGAGGTTGAAGATAATGACATGAAAGAACTAGGAATGAATGAGAGAAGTTGTGAAGGATGTTTGAGTCAAAACACATGGTTCTTCAGAGCTGTTAAGAAACTTAGTAAAGAACGACAGAAATATTTTATAGAGAAGTATTGCAAAGGATGTGTAAATGAATTGTTTGAAATAGAACTTAGAGACACTTTCACACTAAAGGACTTGAGAAGAAATAAGTACATGAGTGAGGACGGTATTGACATAGCTAGTGTTATAAATGACTTAAGAAGATGTGTTGTCGTTATTGACGGAGCACGTATGACATATCTAGTGAAAGATTATGATGGAATACGAGACACAACAACACTTGTGTCAGTAGATAGCAAGGAATTCAATAAGCTCATGAAGAGTGTTTATGTAGGACGTATTGAAGAGAAGGATGTGAACGCACTGATGATTTATGAAGCGGGTCAGAACAAGAACTATCTTATGAAGTCAGGCATGAGATTCTTTGACGAAAGAGATGACATTTACAGCTATTTCAGAGGATATGAGTATGAGGTACTGAATGAAGTAGATGAAAGCATTATTGAAGGATATTTGAAACATGTTCACGATGTCATATGTAATGAGGATGAAGAGCTTTATGAGTATGTTTTGAACTGGTTCGCCTACATCGTTCAAAATCCTTGTGGAAAGACTGGAACAGTACTTTTGTTAATAGGAAAGCAAGGAACTGGTAAGAATGTACTTAGTAATGTTCTATGCAAGCTCATTAGCAAGTACGCCAACAATAATATAACGGCAATAGAGAATGTGGTTGGTAGATTCAATGCTGCTATTGAGAACATGAAGCTCATCGTATGCAATGAACTAAGCTCATGCGATACGTCTAAGGTCATGAACCACGACGCACTAAAGTCAATAGTAACAGAGACTCAGTTGTACTTAAATCAGAAGTGTCAGCCAGTAAGAAAGATAGAGAATGTTTGTAATATCATCATGATATCTAACAACTTCAACTCAGTAAAGATTGACAAAGACGACAGAAGATTTGTTGTCATTGACGTAAGCAGCAGATACAAAGGAAATTACGAATATTTCTCAAATCTCATTGAAAGCTTTAATGAAGAGTTTTATTCAAACTTACTGACGTACTTCATGAAGAAAGATTTAAGTGAATTTGATGTAAGGAAGATACCATTCACCAGGGCTAAACAAGAACTCATCGAAATGAACAAAACACCTTACCAAATGTTTTACGAGGAGTTCTATGAAAAGTTTGTATCCGGATGGAATTATACAGAGTGCTACAGAAGATATAAAGAATTTGCGAAGGAGAATGAATTCTTTGCATGTAGTTCAAATGTATTTGGTGGCAAGATGAGAGAATTTGTGAAGAGAAGTAGAAAGCGAGACGGTTCTGCAAGAAGTTATATTTACGAAGCAAGTATGATATTAGAAGGTCGTGGAAAGAAAGAAACAGTGAATTATGAGGAAGTGCTTGAAAAATTCATGGAGTACATGGGAAGCAATATAACATACAACAAAGACATATACAGTGAGTTTAAGTACTACTGTGAACAGCATGAGATTGAAGTAATGAGTAAAGGAGACTTTGAAACGCTTATGAAAGACAGTGAGGAGGTCATACATGAGAACAGTGATGAAATAGTTCATGAGAACAGTGAGGAGGTCATACATGAATGCAATGATGAAATAGTTCATGAGAACAGTAAGGAGGTCATACATGAGAACAGTGATGAAATAGTTCATGAGAACAGTAAGGAGGTCATACATGAGAACAGTGATGAAATAGTTCATGAGAACAGTGAGGAGGTCGTTCATGAGAACAGTGTTGAAATAGTTCATGAGAACAGTAAGGAGGTCATACATGAGAACAGTGATGAAATAGTTCACGATGTCGTTCGTGAAGAAGCCATTGCAACAAAGAATGTTATAAAGGATTTCATAGAACTTAACAAGGAGGAGTTTAAAGAAGGCTATGAAGTGAAAAGATGTGAAGAAGATTTCTTGGCGTATTTGAAGAAAAAGAGACTAAAGCCAATGGCTCAAAATAAGTTTCAATCGATGTTTGAAAAGAAACGTTTGAGCTATGGTGGTGTAAGAAGCACATATTACTTTGTTAAGAAGTGAGGACATTTATTTTTGTCGTTAGTGTTGGAGTTTGTGTTTGTTGTTAGTGTTTGTCATTTGTGCTGAGGTTAGTACTTGAGTTAGTGTTGGAGTTTGTGTTTGTTGTTAGTGAGAGAATAAATTAAATCATGAACTTTGCCATGTTCTCTGTCCCTAGTAGTTTTCATTAAGTTCTGGAAATAATGAAAGTCATAAACTTTGCCATGGTCTCTGTCCCTAGTAGTTTTCATTATCTCACATAGTTAATGAAAGTCATACTTTCTATCAGATGAAGCATGCAGATGAACATAACGAAAGTTAGTGAGTTTGCCACGAGTTATGAATAAAATATTGGAATATTAGATGAGATAGCTGATGAAACAGATGAAGATAAATTAAATCTTGGACTTGCCACACTCTGTCCCTAGTTCCTCAAAATCCTTGACAACGTTGCTTAGAAATTTTGGTTCAAAACCTCATCTGAGTTAATCTGTTATGCTACCTGTTAAGTTTCGCGAGATTATAAATGTCATGGAGTTATATAAAAAGGAGGGACAGCTAGGGACACTGGAAGTACTTGTAAGGCTATTTGTTAAGATTGCATGAAATACTAAAAGTCATGAAATCCATTATCGCTGTGCTATCTTCACCTTAGAGTAAAATGACAAATAAAGTCACTGAAGCAATGAAACAAAAGTTTTTGGTAGAATACATTAAATCAGGAACTATTCCAGAAGGTTTTTACATTCATACTATGAAGGATGGTAGAGTTCAGTTAGAAAGATAAAGCAACCATTAGATAGAGAAGGTATATTAAGGAAGATTAAACTTCATGAGGACAACATTGCTGAACTTAAGAAGAAGTTAGAAGAGTTGGAGAAAGGAAGAGAGTTATAAAGCAATGAATTCAACAGGGTGAAAAAAGAGGTGAAAAAAGAGGTGAGATCTCACCACTTCACCTAAATTTATTTTTGTGCTATGTTTTCATACGTGTGAGGGTGGTGATATCATTAATTTTTAAATAAATGTGGGAACAAAAATAAAGCATATCTACTCAACAGGAATGAGACCCTTACTGACTATGTATTCGTTTAATGCTTGATGAAAACAATGGTACATATTATCGTATGGGTATACACAACGTCTGTTTCCATCGTCGTCGTATATGTAGAGCTCAAATCCAGTCCAACCTTCTTTTGTACAATATGTAGCTTTATTTAAGTATGCATTTATGTAGATAAGGCAATTTTCTTCATCGCTCCAGAAATAATTTTTGTTCTTTGTTGAAATAGTTTTCGTTCCTCTGCGACCATAAGGAATGTATGCAATGAACTTTGCATCATAAGGGATTGTAATATATTCAGGGTTTCTTTCATCGTCAATGGGTCTGTCTTTGTTAAAATGCATGTTTCTCAGTTTTACTTGAGTTTTGAATAGTTCACGGAAACGTTCTGGGAAAGAGTCATAGTAAATGTAGTCAGACATGTCTTTGTAATGAAATAAAAAATTTAAAAAAATAAAAATAAGGTTATTTTTTATTTAGTGAGGACGGTAGTGAAGTCGTTAGTGAAATCATTAGTGAAGTCGTTAGTGAAGTCGTTTATGTGTCAGATGGTTTTGTAAATATTTAAGGTTAAGTTGGTGTTACGGTTGTGTTGTAAAAATACGTTACCGGTTTCGTAAAGTGTCAAAACCGCTAAGTGGTGTACGGAGGCGCGCAGTGCCACAGTACACAACTTAGGGATACTAACTTAGTCGTCATTTTCAACTTCTTTAGCATATTCGTCAGGAGTTGTCTTATATTTGTTAGGAACTGTCTTTGAAAGTATACCACCTTGAACTTTGACAAGTTTGAAACGAGGTCTGGCAATAGTAGTTTTATCTTCTGCTTGCAGTGTGTACATTTTGCCATGTTTGCCTAAAACTTCATAATATTCTCTTGTATACTTTCTTCTATTTTTACGAACACGAATGTGAGTACCTGTCGGGTTCCCATTGTTGTTATAGTCAATAGTATTTTCATATGGGTCGCGTTTAGGTATTTCTATTTTTACTTTGTCACCTTTCTGAAGTTTGAAGCCCGGCATTCTTTCTTGTTTGTCTCTTTTGACTAAATTATTAAATATATAGTCTTTCTCTAAGTCAGGGTTGTTTTTCATTTCTTCGGGGGAGTGGTTTCCCAAACCTTTTTGTTTACGGTTATTGTAAATATTTAAAACTTGTCTCATCTTTGCCTGGGAGAAGTGTCTATACTTGTCGTTATATGACATTTCATTTGCTTCACCACCTTGTGGTTGGTTTAAGTCTCTTAACATTTTTATACAACCGTCAATGACACCAAGAGCAGAATGGTTTTGGTCGACAATGAAATATTGGTTTACATTTTTTGAACGCAGATAGTTTTTTACATCATCTGATTTGAAAGAACTTTCACAGTCAGATGTCAGTTTTGTTGGATGGTATTTGTCAACGAATATTGTCAAAGCAGTTTTCACATCTAAAATATTTTTGGACCATAATGGTATGGCTTCACAGTATCTTGTGTTTTGACCAACAAATATTAACCAGTATGGTGGTCCATCTGTTCTAACTCTCGGAATGTTTTCCAAGATATCCATAAACCAAGCATTTGGTGTTGAACTAAAGATTTTTACCATGAGTGCTTTCTTTGTCGCTTTAGAAACATAGGGGTCCTTGTTTGGATTCGTCATTTTTTATCCTATAAGAAATGGGTTTATTTGGCGCATTAGCAGGAGTTGCATCTAGATTTTTACCCGCAGTGGGAACAATAGCCAGAGGTGCATTTGGAATTGGAAGGAAGATTTTGAGTACATTAGGTATACTGAAAGAGAAAGCACAACCTATTATACAAACTGTACAGAAAGGTTGGGATGTAGCACGAGATGCAACAAATCTTATTCCAAATCCTGAAACAAGAGGAAAAGTTCAAGGATGGATGGACAATGTAGGAAGACAAGCAGGAAACTATTATAACAAAGCAAATGACTACTATAACCAAGCAGGACACTATATGGACCAAGGTGAAAGATTCTTTAACAGAGGATATAACCATGCACAACAGTGGGTAAACAATAACCAACCGCAACCACCTCAAACGTGGGGAATGTAAATTTTTTTACTGAGATGAAATGAACAATGCAGCATTGAGACAAATGAGTTCAAGATGGATTTGTCGGCTTCCAGCAGTTACACCACGTGTTTGTAAAGTTCTTCCTATACCTCAGGAAGTTTTAGACCGACTTAAAAAACCTAAACAACCAGTTGAAAACAAACCAAACTAAAATTTTTTACTGAGATGAAATGACCGAAGAAGTTGAAACGGTAGATTTGACACCACAAACAAAAAGTTCAGAACCATTGTCAAAACCTGTCAAAGAACTTACAGATGAAGAGAAAAATTCAATAATAGAAAGTGCCAGGTCTGGAAATACAAACCCTAACTATAAAGTCACTTTTCATAGAAATGGAACGGCTAGTATCTCAAAAAAGAAACAGACTCTCACAAATAAAATATTGAAGTCTGAAGGAGCTTTCGAGACAACAGATGGAAAAGTTTACTTCACTGACCAACAGTTCATTATAGAACATCTCATTGACTTAGAGTCGAAATATTCTAAACTTTACAACAAACACAAAAAGTTGAAAGGAAAACAAAAACAAATGGCATATGATATTTATGAAGATGTTGACGACACAACTTTTCCTGCAAGTGAAGTAAAGTCAGAGGAACCGAAAAGTGACGAAAAACCGATAGAAGAAGAAAAACCAAAAACTGAAGATAAACCAAAACCAAAGTTTAGTTTCCAAACTAAACCAAGTCAACCTTCATTAGCTGGTATGGGTTGGCGTCAAAGACTTATGGCAGCAGGCGGTTATGTAAGTTAGTATGGGTTAGTTGGGTACTGTGGCACTGCGCACCTACTTACCCATGATATGTGAATTTGACACTTTACAAAACCGTTAACGTATATTTTACAACACAAACGACAACACTAACTTAACCTTAAATATTTACAAAGCCAACCATTTCACCTCACTAACGAACTCACTAATGAAAAAATAAACGTTCTCATAAATTTTCTTCTATATCTTCATCGTCAATGTTAACTCTATTGTAGTCATACTTGAAGTCATAAAGTTTCTCAAGTTTTGAAATGCATAGTCTTGTTAACTTACCTTCATCATCATAAGTTTTTATAAAACTACCATGACAATCTTTATACACAGTCAATGTATAATCAACTGGTCTAGGATGAAGTGTAAAGAACATGTTATACTCAGGAAGGAAGAATAAATGTTTAAATGTATGTTTGTTATATTTTTCGATTTGTATGAGTTGCTTTTGTTCTGTCATTTATATAAAAATAAAATAAAAAATAAAATAAAAAATAAACTTAAAAATTAATGATATCACCACCCTCACACGTATGAAAACATAGCGCAAAAATAAATTTAGGTGAAGTGGTGAGATCTCACCTCTTTTTTCACCTGTTTTTTCACCCTGTTGAATTCATTGCTTTATAACTCTCTTCCTTGGTTTCTTTTTAGTTGCTTTCTTCACGTCTGTCTCCAACTTGACTGTCTTTCTTCTTCGTCCGTAATGATACCAGTTACTTCCACCAGTCAATGGGTCAAATGGTCTTTCGTAAGGGTTTCCATACATTCCATAGGGACCATACGGAAGAACTACTGGTGGAGAAGAAACATTTTCTTTAGTTCCATCGAATCTATTTAAATGCAGTGTTTCACCTTTCATCTGGTCATTAAGGTCTTTTGCGTGTTTTGCAAACTCATCGTCCTTTCCTAAAGCATTTTCTGACTCAGTCGCAACCAAATTGATGCTTTATTTATGAGCCCTATTTATTTAATCTTAACTTCTTTGCAACCAGCCTCCAATCTTCCCTTTATTTGCATCTAATGTCTTCGAAACCCTTCCTCACTCATTTTATTTACTGCGTCATAAGCTCCAAGTGCTTTTGCTCCAAATGCTAATGCTTTTGTTCCCATTGCGCCTAAAGCTGCCCAAGCTACCATTTACACCATATTAAAATCATCTCTCTTCAATATTATCTCATAAAAGTTCTCGTTACTGGAGAAAGTCAATGAAACATAAACATTCTCACGGGCTTCGCCCTCACCGCTTTGCGGTCTATCTAACTTATTTCTTATATCATCTATACGCTTCAAAATGTCTGAACAATTGCTAACATCTTCTACAACAGTTATTTCATCATGAATGACCTTCAAGAACAAGCTCATTTAATATGCAATTAAAAATCATTTCAATAATGAGTCCATCCTTTCCATCTTTAGGTAGCACAACATCTTTCATTGAAGAAGGTTTCGACAAGTCTTATGTTAAACTTACTGACAAAGTTTGTTATCTATAATGCTTCGGCGGCGAATACATGTAGTTTGAAAGACATAATATAGATTCTTCAGCAAATTCACTTATACTGGATTTTATAACAATGTTCTCACGAGACCAAATACCACCAATTGACAATCTTGTAAGCAATCCTGCTGAACCTTCTACTGTAAACGTCGATGGTAACATTCCACGAAGGTCATCTATTGACATCGTTGAGTCACTGTATTTAAATATTTTCTTAAAGCAATCGTCATTATCTAACCATGCAATAGCTTTGAAGTTTTCATTCGAATATACATCTGCTTCATTAAATGTAAAACCTGACTTCTTTGCAGAGATGACTTTAAAATCTATTGAGTTTGTTTCAAAATTATATGCTATGGTAACTTCTGAAGGTAATGGATGTCCTTCCGCAGTCAGTTGTTCTCTCACTACCATTTGAAGCTTTGTATTAAAAACTTTCATGTCATCTCCTGTGTCTAGTTCACATACACAGCAACAGGAAAACTATCTTGCTTCTTTGTTTCATCATTATATCTCAAAACATTAAAGTTCTTCAATAATATTGTTCTTCCTGCTGGAATACTTCGAACCTGTCTGATTTCAATAGCTTTCTCACCTCCTACATACTCTACCCAGTGTCTTGGATATTCATAAGTATACTGACTTTCTTGAAATTTTGGTAGGTTTCATCATAACATGTTCATAGTATATCTTTATACTCTTGTCAGTTAGACTCGGTGCTATGTTCTGAATATTTCTGACTTGCATTTTTAATGGAGAAAAATGAAGCATTTAATACATGACGTAGATGAAGACATGAATGAAACTACAGACAAACTTAACTCTTCTCTTATTCTTCCTTTCAGTAAGGACTATGAGTTCTGTTCAAATGGTGTGTATTTCTATTGTGGAAAGAGGGTTCAGGTAAGACATTTAACCTCATTCGTCATATTCTTATACAGAACGTTTAGGAAATGACTCATATTATGACCAAATCATTATATCAGCAACTTCAGACTCTATGGACTCAACAGCGAAAACATTTATGTCAAAAGTTCAAGCCTCTGTCGTTAAAGTTCCAGACAGTGAACTCTCATTGAATTTCTTCAACGTTACATTCGACGTAAGAGAAATATTATGCCATCGTTGAATTATACAGTCAGGAATGCAAAAGACTTCTGAGGAGATGGAAAGAATTATTGACAAACACCACTTACGTCAGTACTCAGGAGTTTACGATATGAAACGACTTACAAACTACATTCTATCAAAACTTTCAAAATACCCCTTCAAAAAATATCCTTCAAATACTTTGTTAGTTTGCGACGACTTCGCCGGAAAAGGTTTAGTGTCAAAGCCTGACTCACCATTAGCTAACATCATAACTAAAGTCAGACATTACCACTTAACTGTAGCAATACTTATGCAAACATGGAGGTTTTTAGCTTTAAACATAAAACGTCTCATAACTGACTTCGTTATCTTTCAAGGTTTCTCACGCTATGACATTGAACTCATTTGGAAACAGTCAGGTATAACATTACCTTTTGAAGAAATTTGGGAAGCATATAAGTCTCTCATCTCTCCTCGTTCATACCTTGAGATTCATATCATGACTAATACCATTAAAGTCAAAAATATTCCATGGGAACGACCAACACTGTTTTAAAGTTTAACCTTCAATTGACTGATGGTAAACAAATTCCATGCATCTCTGTCGCCATTTCTGTTAATATTTTTGCTGTCATTCATATCATCCACTTCCCCATCCGTTAGCTTTTGAGGATACGCGTTAGAATAGCTGTTCTTAAATGAAGGCTTTTCACCTTTGAGAGCATAAACTCTATAACTTTCTGCATACTTTATGTTTGAACCTCCTGAGCCATCATTGACATAAATTTTTATAGGTTTCCACCCTTTGTTCATGTTCCTGCTTCTTCCCTTAGCTCTTTTGTTCAGTAGTTCTACATCTTTATACGCAGCACCTGTCTCAGTGAATTCAACAATATTTTCATTCGTTAGCTTTACATTCAAACCCTTGTCGAGTATATTGTTCATTTCATACATATAAAAGGTTTTTATTCTATATGAAATGAGAAGCAAATCCATCTTAGCTGGTGCCGTTAATGTTCCAATTGAACCAACATCAAATGTTGACTCAAGAACAACAAACAATATTGTCATAAAGAACTATAGTTCGGAGTGTTTGAAAGAAAAAGAACCAGATCTTAAGTCGGGACCTTCGGTCTTGGAGCATGGCGCCGTGAATTTAAACACAGCTTCAAACGCTAACGCTACATCAGATGTTAAGTTAGAGTATCCACCACTGGACCAAATTCTTTCAAGAGAAGCCAACGACAATCCTTACACAAATGTTCAAACAAATCCTTCAGGTAACGTAGACCATTACCTTCTTCAGTTATACCAAACAATTTTACTCAAAGACGATAAGAACTTTTGGTAAATCTTATAAGCAAGAACCAAATAATTCTAACAAAGGAGGACCTTGAAAATGTTATCTCACGAATAACAGGGAAACAATGTGTCATTGACTATCTCGACCCTGAAATCGAATGCTGTGGTCAAACTCCACTATTCATGAAAATAGTAACATCCGCATCATTGAAACACCAGGAACTACAGGAGTTGAGTTTAAGTATAAATATTCGAACGAGTATACAAAACTTTCAACAGAATATAAACTTTGTTTTGAAATATGTTTAGTATTAAAGCAGTCAGGAGGGCTCTTTGAGCCCATCTTGGCGCTTTGCGCCGTCAGTCAAAAAAATTTCAAGTTAGCAATTTGTAATATCTATCCAAAACTTCTTCAACAGTATCGAACTCATCTTCATAATGCAAACCTAATCTTATTGACTTGGTGCAGTTTTCACTAACACAATATTTTTCTGTTCTCTTGACTGACATAACTAACTCATTTGTTTCATCAAACAGCAACAACCAAAGTTCATGACCTAATACATAACATTCATACTTTATATTTTTAGCTCTGAGTTCTCTTGTAAGCTGTTGCATTTAATATTTTCTAAAAAGTCAACTTCAACAGTCATTCGCACTGGTGCCTTCAGTTCTACAGGCTCTCCTTGAAAGTCAACAAGTCTGAATTGCATGTCTTTCAAATTATGAGGACTAATACGAACCCATTTACCTAAATGAGTTGCTATGACAGGAACGTTTGGAATGAACATTGAATTTACTTCATAACAGAATGATTTATATTCTACTGAACCTTTACTATTAACTCCTGAAATGCCTGTGACATTAGCTATTTTAGACTCAATGTATAAACAATTACCATAACATACATATGGAACAGATTTCATCTCAATCGTTTTGTCAACACTTTTCAAAGGAAATGTCATATGGTATGCACCCAAAAGAAGTTGTACTCTATGACTCATTCTTGGTATCTTAAACTCCTTCGCATAACTGAACTTCAAAACTCCTGCAATAAGTTTAACATTCATTAAGTTTTCTTCGTTATCCTTGTTTATTGTAGTATTTATGAGAGCATTTAACACTCCAGCTAATGTTTCCATCTTATATTCTACATTATTGTGAAATCTTATTTCGTGCTTCTTTCCATCTATTTCAATCTCCATGAAATCTGTTTCATCTGTTATAACGAATGAAGCGATAGTATTGAAGTCAACCATTCTGAATGCAAGCGCCTCATTCTGTAGACCTAAGTTTGTTTGTAGCTTTACTGTCCCGTATTCGTTTGGGTCTGTACTTTGCAAATAGAACAACATTTTATTCTCATTAAAATATGAGTATAGCTGCATATGCGTATGAAGCTGACAGAGCTAAACGTTTATATTTTGGTCAATACTCTCTCACACTTACTGACAAATATATTGTTATCACTGATGGAAATACTGAGAAATACATAACATGGAAGGACTATGAAAAGTTTGACCCTATTTTAACTCCATGTACTATGCCGTTTATAAAGGACGGTGAAATTATTGAAAAAGATAATACAACCGTATATAGGTCTGTTTATGAAGCATTAGAATATATGTTGAATCATAACCCAAAAAGATTTGACCCAAGCACTACACCATGTGCAATGCCTTTTATTAAGGACGGTGAAATCGTAAGAGTTCCGGATTCAACGGTTTACACAGCTGTTCAAAACAGTTTACAAAACATTTTAGCGAATATCTTTAATTCAGAAACTACAGAAATAAAATTACCATATATAACAGATGCTAAAGAAATTAAATCAAAAACGACAACATTATTTACGTCACTTAATGATTTAATGACTTATATCATTAATATTCCTGCACCAACTACAGCATTTGATCCAAACTCGACGGTTTGCAGTGTACCTTTCATAAATGACAGTTCATTAATTACTTTAAGGGATTCGACAGTAAATGAATCATTAAAGGCGTCATTAATGAAAATCATTGATTTTAATTCATTCACGAATACATATAATTCATTCATTAATGTTTCATATGGTTCTAAAGAAGGTGAGCCAAAAACTATTGATAAAGCGGTGTATGAAATAAAAGCATCAACGACGAAATTGAATTCGTTAACTTTTGACGGTGATAGTTTCGTTAATGACATAACATCGGGGAAAACAATTTTAACGAAAGAATACTTAAAATCTCATGTTAGTGAGTTCGTTGAAATTGAAAAAGAAGGTGGAATTAAGTTCGATCCACTGAATTTCATTTTCAGCTTAGCGAATGCGGGTGTTAGTTTCGCTGAATGGACAACTATACAGAGTGAAATAAATGCAATATGGACGTTTTTGGGGTCAAAAGCGGGAATGGGTGAGCTTGTAAATGCTGCAAGAACATTAGGTGAAACAGGAAATTTTGTAGATGGTTTTAAAAGACTTGTTTCAAATGTTTTAACAAACACAAAGAAATTATTTAGATATACTGTACATAACGGACGGATTTTCGAACAGGTAGCAACAAACCCTCCGGTTATGGCTGCGTTGATGATGGTTAGAGATATAAAACCACGTAACGACGGGAACGAAGAACATGAACAACAGGATACTGGTCGGGTTATTCGAGACATTAAAAACGTGTATCCTGAAGTTATTGATTTATTTAGAGGAGTTAATGATTCAATTTCAAAACATTCTATAACCCTCGATGAAGAGAATAAATTAACAGATTATATATTCGTCATTATTGCAGAACTAATGAAGAGAATAAATGAAAAAGGAATTGGTGATATCATTAATGTCAGCGATGTAATGATGAAAAGAAATTTTGACTCATTATTTACAAAACCGAAAACAGAATATAGTCTTTATGACGTAATTACCGAATTAATGAAAAAGATTAATGATAATAAGAGTTCTGGCGGAAGAGTTGAATTAGAAGTGAATGATGTTAATGAGAAATTAGCCGAAAAAGCAGACAAAAATGAGCTTTTAGCTCTGAGTGATAAAGTCAAGAACCACGTTCATTATATAAGTTCAGACGAACAGATTATAACGGACTACCATGGATATTTAACACGAAGTGATGAAGTGAAGACGGAAGACCCCAATGAAAGAAGATATAAATACATTCGTGCTAAAGGTTATGACATAAGCTGTACTGTACAGTATGACACGGGTAAAGCACCAGAAGCATTTAGTTATAACGATGAAATTTATGCCTCTACTTTCTCTGTTAAAGGTGTATTAGTTGAACCAAGATTTACTTTGAGAGTTAAGTCAAAAATAACGTTTGAAGATGCTATTAAAAGTAAAGCTGACAAAGTTGAACTCGAAGCAATGAACAAAGTTTTGAAATCTCATAAACACAATATCTCCGATATAAATGAACTTCAAGCTACATTAGACAGTAAAGCCGACAAGAACCATACACATAAATCCTTCACTACTGTTAGAGCAGACGACATAATATTGAACTATGATTTGGGTTCAAGTGCACCTTTAGAGAATCCAAGTACAAGCGTAAAAGATACACTAAACTCCTTAAATAGTAAATGTATGAACATTGAAGGTCATGTGAGAAACTTTGAAACACATGAACTACCAGCAATGTTAGATAAAAAAGCAGATAAAGAACATACACATAAATCCTTCACTACTGTTAGAGCAGACGACATAATATTGAACTATGATTTGGGTTCAAGTGCACCTTTAGAGAATCCAAGTACAAGCGTAAAAGATACACTAAACTCCTTAAATAGTAAATGTATGAACATTGAAGGTCATGTGAGAAACTTTGAAACACATGAACTACCAGCAATGTTAGATAAAAAAGCAGATAAAGAACATACACATAAATCCTTCACTACTGTTAGAGCAGACGACATAATATTGAACTATGATTTGGGTTCAAGTGCACCTTTAGAGAATCCGAGTACAAGTGTAAAAGATACTCTTAACAATTTAGATAACAGTTGCAGGAATATCGAAGGTCATGCCAGAAACTTTGAAGCATATGAACTACCAGCAATGTTAGATAAGAAAGCAGACAAAACAGAGCTTCAAACATTAAAGACTGAAATACTTCAAACATTATATCCTGTTGGTTCTATTTATACGTCAATGAACTCAACAAATCCAGAAACAGTTTTAGGTTTTGGTACGTGGAAGCAGATTGTAGATAAATTCTTATACTGTGCTAGATATTCAAAGCAAACAGGAGGTTCGAAGAAAATTAAAGAAGCAAACCTTCCACCGCACACTCATACAGGAACTACAAACACAACAGGTAGTCATTCACATTCAATAACAAAAAGAGGTTATACAAATCTTGCAGCAGGTTCGGATAGACAGGGAATGCATAGATATGATATTTCAAGTGACCCAGTAGATTCAAGCGCAGGTATTTTCTGTGGAACCGCAGGAAATCATTCACACACTTTCACAACAAATCCAACAGGCTCGGGTGCAGATTATATGCCACCATTTGTGACTAGATTCGCATGGTACCGCGTTCAATGAACGCGCTTGAGCCTAGAATAAAATCTTTAACTTTACATAAATGAGCTTGAAAGAAGTATTCGAACAACATCCATGGAGGTCATTTAAGAAGTTCAATGAAGCTGCAAAGAGTTGGGGATTTACTAGCAGAGCTGAAGTGAAAAGGTTCTTTGACAAAAATGTTGTACATCAAACAAAAATAAACCCTTACGACTACGTTTTACCAATTTACTCCAACACTCCTGACGCATACCAATTTGACACTCTCATTCAAAGCAGAAAAGGAGGACATAAACCATTCCTCATCTTCATTAATGTTAACACTCGTAAAGCATATGCACATCCAATGAAAAATAAAGGAACTCGTGAAGTGTTAAGAGTTTTACAAAAGTTTGTAGCAGAACATAGCCCAAGTACTTTAACATCAGACCAAGACAGTGCATACCTCAGCAATGAAATCACAGATTTTCTCATTAAGCATAACATAACTCACTACACTACTGAAGACCATAACCATAACATACTCGGCATCATAAACCGCTTCATAAGAACGCTCAGAGATTTAAACCAAGAGCGAGACTTTACCGAAGAAACAATGAAACATTTTCTCGAAGTATATAATTCCTCAACACACTCTACAACAGGACATACACCAAATTCAATGACACAACAACAAGAAGAAAAGTATATACAAAAGAAACAAAGCCAAACACAAAATATCAGAAATTCAACACAATTTACCCTCATTCCTGGTACAAAAGTTCGTGTAGTTCTTGACGACAAGCCGTTGACAAAGAAACGTTTAAGGTTAAGTCGAAATTATTATATAGTAGATTCAACGCAAGGTAATGGATATCTTATAAAAGCTGCTGACGACTCCATTGCATTTTACCCTCGACATAAATTAGTCGAAAGTAGTAATGGCAAACTTGCTGAAACCATTGACGAAGCAAAGCGAGGAGTGGTTATTGAAATACTTGGCTATAACATAAACGACGACACTTATAAAGTAAGATATGAAGGAGGCGTTGAAGATGTTATACCATCTAAGAACTTGAGAGAGTCAAAGCCAACACATCTGGGACCATTCGAGCGGGAGTACTGGAAAGACAAAAATAAGCCAGAAAGAATAAGAAAATTCTTCTAAACTTTTTCATTAGATGTAAATCAGACATGAATGAGAACAGTCATGATATCATTAATGGTACCATTTATTTTTGTCATAAATTTACACCAAAAATATATTTTAGGTGAAGAGGTGAGATCTCACCCGTTTTTTCACCTCTTTTTTCACCCTCGCCGCTTAGCGGCTCAGATTGCTTTAGCTTTCTCGTGAATTTTCATGAATTTCCTTAAGATAGAAAAATAAAGTTAGTTTTATTTTTATTTATTTTTTTATTTTGTATAAAAGATATGATTTCAACAATCGGCACAACAACAATTCAAGCCACGAACGGCGGGACTCTGTCCACAACTACAGCACCAAACTCGTTAGTCATGAATCCTACGTCAATGTTGGTAGAGATGAAAAGCTTTATTCCTTCTTCATATACTTTTGAAACAGAAATCCAGAAGATAAAGCAAAAACTTTTAACAAGTAATTTAGACTGTAGTGCGAAAAATGAAACAAATGAACAGTATCTTTATGAAATGGAGGACCTCATCGACCATTTGCCTAAACTACCTGAAATTCAGCAGCAAAAACTAACTATTCCTGAATTCGACGAAATTGAAGTCAAAGCAACTGACTCAGTAGAAATTAAGAAATTCATACGTAAAGTAAATTATGAATTCCTTGGTTTTCATTGCAACCATAAAGTTATGGACAAAGATTGCGACATGGTTTATAAAAATATTTCTGACCTTTACAAATCCGAAGAATTTAAGACATACGATAACTTTGTTTCATTAGTTGCAAAATGTGTATGGCAGATAAGAGATAAAGATAGAAGAGGTAAGGTATGGAATGAACAGATAAAACCAGCAGCTTTTGAGTTAAAGAAAACCATTGACGCCTTAGTTGTTCTAGCTGGTTTTATTTCAATGTATAACGCAAAAACGATGCCGCAATGTTCAAAATGTAAAGCAGCAATAAGAAAATATAACTACTCAGTCAAAGAGATAGAAAGAATGCGAAACGACTATGCAGACTTAAAGAAAGAAGCAGAAAAGCCAGCAGAAGATAAAATGGATATGTTGACATTTTAATAATAAAAACTATCCAACAGCAGAAGATTTCCTTCTGTCTCTGACGTCAAGAAGAAATATAAAGAAACCTTCGGCATTGTTAAAACTTTTGATGTACTAAAAGAAGAAATAGAAGCTACGAAATTGTTTAGGATTTCAAATATACATCGTACAATTCATGTAAAACGCTTGTGAAAAATTAGGTGAAAAAACAGGTGAAAAAACAGGTGAGATCTCACCTCTTCACCTCAACATTATTTTTATTGAATTCAGCACAAAAATAATGAATTTCATTAGTTATTTTGTATGACAAGTAAGTAATGACAAACATTGAGTTTGAAACAGTTTAGAAAGATAGACAATGACACCAAAGTGGTTAGAATTGGTGATTTAAACGTAAGATACTCAAAGAAATACAACAAATATTCTTTGTCAGACATTATATCTCCATCTGGAAAGAAAAAAACGACTGGGTTAGAAATGCTTCAACTCAGAAAATTTTGACAAGAAATCCTGAGCTTATGATATCAGTAGCATTTCATGGAACAAGAGCTATCTTATAGACAAAAGTCTTATACCAATAGTTTTGTTATGGTTAGACCCAGTTGTTGGATATAACTTCATAACATATGGTTCATTCGATACGGAACGTTGCAGTGAAGGCTTACTTTACATCGTTCAGAAACCGAAGGACTTCAACACAAAAAGATATAAGATAGGAAGGACATATAATATAACTCAAAGATATGACAGTACAGTCAATAGAGTCAAGGTTGTGTTTGTTAATGATATGAGAGCTGCTGAAACAGAACTGCTTGAAGTTTTTGAGAAAATGTATGGTGCTCCCACGAAAGGTAAAGAAACGTTTGAAGTAGATGAGATAGATAAAGCTATAAAATTATTTGACGAAGTTGCTGAAAAATACATGTAGAGCGTTTATTTTTGGTCTTTTGTGAAAGTCAGAAAATAAAGTTAGTTTTATTTTTATTTATTTTTTTATTTTGTATGTAAAGACAGTAATGTCAACATCAGAGAACACAACAACAGTTATAGTCCATGAAGCTATAAATGAAGAATACGAGTACATACAGTATAACAAACAGTTACGTCTCATTCGTTCAGTCAAAGATGACATGTACCAAATGCAGAGTATAATGAATGCTCTTCGTTCTACAAAGCAAGCATATCATTGGTTTGAAAACCAACAGACAAAAGAACTTTTAGAAGAATTTCCTCATATGATTGCTTCCCTCGGAAAACCGAGAGAAGAGATTCCGTACGAAAATCGCAAGAATTTGGCTCCTGGTTTGAAAGGTTATTATGTTCATAGACTTTTAGTAAATGCTGTAGCAATGTGGGCTTCACCTCGTTATGCTTGTTATATTTTCATGATGTTAGATGAACTATATAAAGCAGAACGTGGAGAGATGGAAAAGAAACTTCAAGCAAAAGATGAAGTCATTGAATCCAAAGACAAAAGCATACAGAAAAGAATACCGCGTTCAGTACCAAAAGGAAAGGAAAAGAGTTATAAGTATATGATATATACCGAAGAGTTGGAGAAAGAAGAAGATAAAGATATGGTTATGTTGCATTTAGTCAGAAGAAACAACAAGAGTTTTTATGACTTAGCTAAAATATATAAATCTGACAGAAACTGGTTCTATCGTGAAAACTTACCGATTTCAATGACACCGAATGAACAAATAAAGGAAATTGTCAAAAATACTCTTCCTCAAACACACTATGACATCAAAGGTTGCATAATACTTACATTCAAAGAAGACTTAACATTACTGAAGGAAAAAATAACAGAATATTTCGATAACTTCAAAGAGGAAGAATAAAAAAATCTAAGCTAATTTTATTTTTTTTATAAAATTTTATCTCATATGAAAGAACATGAATTTAGAATATTCGGAACTCATGACAGAAGAAGAGAACGAACAACATGTAAAAGATTATGCAAAATTTCTGAAGACATACAAAGCATTTAAACAATATCTAAATGCTTCTAAAGATTATGCAAAATTTCTGAAGGTATATAAAGCTTATGAAAAAGCGTATGAAAAGTTTATACATTGGGGAATTGTTGTAAAATATCGATATGAAGACTAACCAAAAATATATTTTTGCTTAAATAGCTTCAGGGTCTATTTCTTCAACCATTTCACTTCCTTCGTCAATGTCAATAGAAGCTTCTTCAACCTTTGGTAAGAATTTCTGTATAACATCTTTGTTCGTTATTGTCTTCAGAGATGAAGGATAATATTTCACATTTGTTTCACCCTTCTTATATTCTTTCTGTTCGGAAAGATTTAAAGCAATACTGAAGAAGTCAATATTAGAGTTCTTTATAACAGTATAATGAGTATCTTTGACATTCACGAAGAAACTCTTTTGTTTCAAAACTACTGCTAACTCTTGTGAAGTATAACGTTTGCGGTCAATGACGATAGCTAATGGTCTGACATACTGACCAAACTTAGATTCTTTCACAAACTTCTTGTTAAAGATAACATTAACATTTGAAGCATTATTGAACTCATTCTTGATGGCAGTAGCGAGAGCATTGTATGAAAAGAACTTGCAATCTTGCATGTGTTTCATTAAAATAAAAATATTAAATTATTTTGAAAAATAACTTAAAAAAATCTAATCTAATTTTTTCAAAAAATATTTTTTTTATTTCCTACTAAAGATGTATCGGAAGTTGTCTAAGTTAGAACACTCGGAAATAAAACAACTTCTTACAGAAGCTAATATAGATGTTACAAAGCATTACGCAACAAACAAAAAAGCACTCGCTGACTTCATTAAAGACTACAATGGTGAAATAACTTATGATAGAATTCATGAGTTCATAAAGCCGCAACGCGGCGAGGACGAAGTCCATGCAAGAGCATTTCCTTTAAATGACGTTGCTATTGACTTATATCATAGACGTTCAGTACCTCATGAAGTAAGAAGAGAAATGTTTGACATAACAAATGCAAACGTTGGTGAAACAAGAAGAAGAGACGACACACTGAAACAACAGAGAAGAGAGATGTTTAAGAGCGCTATAGAACAAGTTCGCAAAGCTAACGATGTCATTCGTTCCATTGACGACAAACCAAAAGAAGGTGAGAGATGGTTAAAGAAAGATGAAGAGAATAGGAAGAGAAATGTGAAGTCAGGCAATAGACTCATTGACTTTAACATCGAAGCTTTAGATGAACCAAACAGAGACTACTTACACAAACATTTCGGTAAGGTTTTCATGAGACTCTTAGAGAAAATTAAAATAAACTCACAACAGAGATGGATGGTATGTTATAAACTTGGTGGAAAGTATGAATGTTCTACGTTAAACCTCAATAATATTGGAACATTACTACATCAGCTCTTGAAGGAGAACTTTATATCAGAGATAGAAGCAAATGCTGCAGGTATTGTTGAAATGCACTATGACTTCTTCTTGACAAACATAAAGAATCTTACCGAAATAAAGATGTATGATTTAACAGAATATGAAGGCTTAACGATGTCAGATGTAAAGAAAGGCAAACCAAAAAAGAGACCATATAGAGATGAAAGCACACTGACAAATGACCAGAAAGCCATTTTGGAAGCTCTTAAGCAAACAGGAAACCCAGCACTTATAGAAAGCTTTTGGAAAGATAATGGTGAAAAGAAGTTTTATAAGAAGAGAAGCGGTCAGTTCTGGAAGTATCTTTGCACATTACCTATAAATCTTGAGCGCTACCAAATCTTCAATGAATTGAACAAAAGAACTGCAGCACTTATGACAGAAGACAATTGTTTCGTTTATGCTTGCATTCAGGCTGGAGTAGATGGAGAGACTATTGACCACATGAGAGAAGTCATTCGTGTTAGAGACTTTCCTCAAAGTAAAGTACAAGAAATTTCTGACGCAACAGGTATAGCATTTAATGTTACCATTGGTTATTTCAATGACTCAAGACATAATGAAATAAAGAGATACATACCAAAAGAATGTGAAACTGTTAGAACTATTGACTTACTTCTTGTTGAAGACCACTACATGCTAAACGAAAGATTACCAATGACAACATATTTCGTCGAAATTACAAAGAAATTCTCAAAGCTTGTGGTGGAATGAACATTGAGAAACAAATGAAGATTTATACAAAGAGAGAAGATAAATATGTAGTTCGTTATGATAGAAAACACCGTTATGGGATGTTATGAAAACATTGTGGGAGTGCAAATATTTCGAACCTATTTCTTATGGAGAACTTTTCACATATACGACTGACTTATATAAACAGAACCTTGCACCATTTAAAGACTTGTCATATGCTCCAAAGTATTGTGTACAACTGAAGAAGAAAGCCGAGTCAAAAGAAGTAAATAAAAATAAGTGCAAGTTCATTCCTGAGCACGTTTTCTTTGCTGACTTTGAGTGCAGTAGCCGATGGCTTTCATAAAGCTTTTAACATATGTTACGACAGTGAAGATGGTTCAGTGAGTGAAAGCATTTGGGGTCAGAACTGTGCAACAGAATTTTTGGAACGACTTCCTGACAAGAGTTTAATATATTTCCATAACCTCAGTTATGATATAAACTTCATCTTAAGACACATGACAGAAGTGAAAGGAACTCCCATCATTAAAGGTTCACGAACAATGCAAATAACTGGCTTATATAAAGGAAGGGCAATTATTATAAAAGACTCTTACAGTGTTATAAATAAGAAGCTTAAACTATTTCCTGCTATGTTTAACTTACAAACAGGACCGAAAGAAGTATTTCCATACAACTACTACAGCAGTGTTTTGTTAGCAAATGACAACAGAACTGGTGTCATTTCTGAAGCATGTAAGTTTATCCGGGATGCAGATACATTCATGAAAAACATAGATTCCATCAAAGGTTGCAGAATAGATGAGAACCACTT